GCCTGTATGTGCTTCCTGACCAGATAGCTGTTACTTTAGCCAAGTGTTTGTTTGAGGACTACATTTGTCACCATGGTGTTTCCCACAGCCTACACACGGACCAAGGATGCCAGTTTGACTCAGATCTTATCAAATGTCTGTGTTCAAGTATGGGTGTACAAAAACAAGGACATTTCCAAATCATTCAATGGCAGGTGGAATGGTGGGACGGGCTAACAGATCAATAAAAAACCAGTTACCAGTTCAAAAGGGGGTGAGTGGGATGAACACATGAAGCAGGTTGAGTTTGCATACAACACTTGTGTATACAACTCCAGGCCTCGAGGGCCGGTCTCCTGCAACTTTTAGATGTACCACTACTTCAACACACCTGGGTCAAATAATGAGGTTAGCAGGACTCTGGAGAACTTGACTGCACTTAGGAGGTGATTCAGCTGTTGGACCAGGGAGACGACTAAGAGTTGCAGGACACCGGCCCTCGAGGACCAGGATTGCCCACCTCTGGTCTACGCATAAGTTGGCTCCTCGGTGGACTGGTCCTTTCAAAGTTTTAAAATGGCTGAATTTTGAGGCAGACATGGGTGTTGACTATGAGGTGTTGGACCAACTTGACTCCAGAGCTAAATCCAAAGTTGTTCACTACAACCACCTCAAGCCGTATAGGTCCCCTGTACCCAGGTCATCTGTAGCAGATGCTCCACCATGTACTGGGCCCCCCACTCTAACCACCCTCTCAGGCTTGAGGCCTTGGGCATTTGAGTATAGTAGTATATGGCAACACCTGACATGGCACATGTTACTCAATCTAGAGGTCAAGGTGAGGGCAATATTCTAGCTGAGTGCAGTTCCACCCCCAGTGAAACTACAAACTAGGTCCAGCCACCCCATTTGTCCTCCAGACAGGTATAGTCCTGACTTCTGAAGAGTTTATTTTTTCCTTCTTCACTGTTAAGCTATGACTTTTGGTTATTCTGATGCCCTGTTCAGTATGGTTTTTGAAGTCGCGTTGTGATTTTATTTTTCTCTTCCTTTCTTTCCTGTGTTAACAGTTCATTCCTGTGCCACATAATAGTATAATTCTTGTGTATGAAAATGCTGTTTTCTGGTACTAAATCAGCCCATTTTATTTGCTATGTTTGAAGCGGGGATGCTTCTGTTGTTGTAAGGGGAAGTAGTGTAAGAGTGAAAATTGGAGTCATGAAAATGTAAAATGTTTTGGAAATGTTTTATTTCCAAAAGAAATAAAAAAATTCTTTTGGAAACATTGGGGGAGAAGAGCGAACGTTTAGTGACAGCTGAGTGTGGGACAGCTGATTGAGTAGCAGAAAAGAAATTAAATGTTTGACACTGAGAAAGAGCTCAATTGTTTCTGTGGATTATTCTACAAAGGAGAATCACAGTATCTGGACACCCGCGAGTCTTACAGAAGCATGAAAATCTGTTTAGTATTTAGGAAGTTATGATCGAGTTATGAGCATTTATTTATGCTGGTATGTCATTGCGCCTGCCAGACTTATAATGCTGAGTGGAGCGAGTCACCGCTCCACTCAGAAATAGAAGGTTTTCGCCGAACCAGATTAAAGAAGTGAAACCAGATGGTCAGAGGAAAAACAACAAAAAAGGAGAAGTGAACAAAGCGTTGATATAAGAGGAAATATCTGGTACTTTCCACAAAGCCATCAAACGTTCAAGAAGTCACATAAGCCATCACCACACACACAACCATCGGGTGAGAAAGCATAAAAACCCATGAAAAAAGGAACGAGTTGTTCTTAGTCTCTGGTGCTGAAGTCAAGCCAACATGAGTATGCATACAGAAGATCAGCAGAGGACTGCACCCTGGAACCACGGGGAGGTGAAGACTCTGCACTGCTAGAAGGGGACAAAACCAATCTGCCCTCAACCCTGGTTCCTGATTAGACAACTGCCCTGCGCTCAACCCAAGGATCTCAAGGTTGCTGTAACAGACTTGGTGAATGGATTAAGATCACTGAGTGATGAACAACTGAGTCGTCAGAGGACAACAACCAGTTACCGTAGTTCTACTTTGCGTCTATTCAGAAGAGAATTTTTCCATACAAAGACAAGACTCAAACCAAGGACACCAAAACCTTCTGTTGTCGAGATCATCCACCATCTGGGTATGAGTTGAGCTGCATCCCAAAGCCTCTCTCAGTTAATTAGTGACATAGTATAGAAAAAGATGATGGGGAAGAGTGAATGTGATTTTAATGTTTTTATGCTAAATCTGTAATCTCAATTAATCAAATCTGTTGTCATTTGCCCTTGCTAAAGCTTGCTAAATAAAGATTCATTGAAATTCTAATAAGATTAGAATTTTAATTAATTGAGTCAATTACTGAGTACGGTTCTTCTGATTAATGTGAAACCCATGACCATGTTTGTAGAAATGTGGTGGCTTCAGACGTTTCTTTAGTGTATGTAAAATAATGACCTTAGGGCTTATGTTGAGCTACTAAAAATTGTCTAGTCTGTAACAAGTGCTCGTTGTTGATAGAGAGAGAGCTACCATCAACAAGAGTAGTTACTGGAGTTATGCAGTTGCAGGGCTACTCAGCTGATTGCTTCATTAACTGAAAAAGGTCATAACTTTTACAATGAAGGTAGTTAAAGGCTAGACAAGTCTCTCTCGACACCAGCTTGAATAGATTATCTCCCCTGAACCTGTCTTAGAGTAAGACTCGAGGGTTTTAGAGATTTTCTGAACCCATTAGACGGAGAGTTGGTCAGTAGTCAGTCCATGAGAGTTGTGATTCATAATTCAGGTGAATTATGATTCACCTGATGTCCAAGTTATACTGAGAACAAATAAAGCTTTATTCTTTCTAATCTGACTGGTTCTAGTTCCATGTTTTCACATTTTGGACACTAAGAATTAAAAGTTTAAACTCAGTCTTATTTATCACTAATTAAGGTTACAGGTTTTGCACAATGTTACTGTGCAATAGCCAGCCCCACACCTGGGGTGGGGAATATTTTCCTGGCAGACTTTGGGCCCATTATGAGTATTGTTGCTGACCATGTCCATCCCAATGACCACAGTGTACCAATCTTCTGATGGCTACTTCCAGCAGGATAACATGCCATGTCATGAAGCAGGAATCATCTCAGACTAGTTTCTTGAACATGACAATGAGCTTACTGTACTCAAATGGCCTCCACCGCCACCAGATCTCAATCCAATAGAGCATCTAACGAGAGATTTGTATCATGGATGTGCAGCCGACAAATCTGCAGCAACTGCGTGACGCCATTATGTCAATATGGACCAGACTCTATGAGGAATGTTTCCAGTACCTTGTTGAATCTAGGCCACGAAGGATTAAAGCAATTCTGAAGGCAAAAGAGGGTCCAACCCGGTACTAGCAAGGTGAATCTAATGCCCCTTTTCCACTGGGTCTACTTCAACAACCCGGCTCGGCTCGGCTCGGGTCTGTTTCGGAGTGACCACGTTTCCACCGGCCCAACTTGGCTCTGTAAGCAGGGTGCCGCCTCCTGGCGGTGGGGGGTGTAGCGCCCCGCCTCCAGGCGCCATGTGATGTGCTTCATTACTATGCGACCTAACACGAGTTGTTGTTGTTTTTCTGATTCAAAAGAAGAAGAGAGAGCTGAGCTATTTCTTATAGCCTCATTGTGATTTTTCTGAGACTTCAAGAAAATGTGACAGTGGGAGGAAAGTAGGTGGCTCAGATGGTGCAGGTGAGCTAGCGATGACTTTTGTATTAAACTACTATAAAACTTGTAATAGTGCCGAATATACATGAGCTAATGTTAGTCAGGGTGTTGCAAATAACTTAAAAATGTCAGAATTAATTCATAATATATTCCAATGTGTTTTCAGATGTTGGTAAACTGCAGACCATCGTGGTTCTTCCTGCTCCTCTGTGTGTGAACAGCAGCAAAGCTGCGTCACCCACCAAAACAGGCCCGGCCCGGATGGCCCTGCTCCGAAGCAGGACCCTAAAAAGCAGGGCCAGTCCCGAAATATAGCCGGTGGAAAAGCTCCGAAAGCGAGCCGAGTCGAGTTGGTGGAAAAAGGGCATAATAAAGTAGCCAGTAAGTGTATGTATCCATATATGAATACATATATGAAGATTCTTGACATATGTCAATCTGAAAGCATATGTCAAAACAGGACAGTGGCGACTTGCAACCTTGGCCTCCATGGCCAGTGATAGAACATGACTTATTGATGGAGCTGACATGAAGAGATCAGCTCTATGACAGCCATTTGAGTCTTCATGCATGAAGAGAGGAAGATTTTGGCTATTAAGGAATATAAAACAACTCAAGTATTATGTACTTCATTTTCAAATATCTGACACAAGGCCACATTTGAAGAGGTTTGGAATTGTCTTAATTTGGTTTCTTGTTTCAATAAAAGTATTCACTTTCAATACACAAATTCCCCCTTACAATTGCTTATTAATAGGCTAATAAATGAATAAACAGCTACCACTCACTCCCTATGTATGCACACTTTATAAACTTCCTGCTGCTGTCAAATGGTGGATATATGTACAAAGAAATATGTAAAGGAACGCTCTGGGAAAGCTGAGTAGTCTCTCCCTCTGTGTTTATTGTATACAGCACAAAGTGAGATCTGGATCGTGTATCCACTCAGGACACATTTACATTTCTGTCTTCAAGATCACTCTACACTGATGTTGATGTCAGGATTGAACAGGACCTCAGTAATACCAGCCCTCTTTATATTGTGTTTTTTGCATAGTTTTAGTCAGTAGGTTGTACAATTGTAACGTCATAATGGTGGATTAATGGGTAAACCCTCTCTGAAGACCCAGGTATCAAATGCATGACCCACCACTGACAGCCCATTGTTGTAGGTACCCTATTAACTGGCCTGCCCTCTGATGGGGTAGGTGCGTGTGTTCGTGTGCAAGAGAATAATTGCGTATGCAAGAGTGGTCTGTGTGTGAGAGCTTAAAATACTTAGAAAGTAATTTAAGACAACTTACAAACTTGCTTTCTAAGTCCCAGCAGCAGCAGTCACTCAGATAGCGAACCACCAGACCCCTGATAAAGTCAATGAGCAAGATGCTGGCCACTGTGAAGATCATGTCAATAATAGAAAGCTTCAACATCTCCTGAAAACAGATGAACATGTAGATATTATTTTACTGCTGAATTTTATACATTAAAAATTCTAGATTAAAAATTGGGCATTTACATTTTTTTTGTTGGATTTACTAAGAGAATAATTAATTTGAATACTTCAGAAATGATAGTAAGCCATCTTGAGTTGAAAGAACTGAATTGTTACACACACATATACATATAAACACTGTCAAGACTCTGGGTTTTTGTGGTTGGTTTTGTGAACTTTGGGTTT